TGGTAGCATTAAAACATGGCTATATTCAGTTAAAGCACTGTGATTACAGTTGATTGAAACCCAAAATATGTTATCAAGTACAGTATTTGGGTAAATTTTGAGACAGAGTAGCATTTATTACACAGGTCAAAGGTTATTGTGTGATGCTGATATGTTAATGAGTTTACATTCTTTCACGCTCACAGAGATATTAAAGTACATAGTTTTCATTGACCATTTTGTCTCCCTCAACTGTTATTTTTTGTCCTTCTTCAGATATTTGCAATGAATTTATTTAGACAATTATTTTGGGCCTTAAGACAAAATTGAACTTCAGTGATTTACTAACTACACTGAACTTAATGATGTTTCTATGTGTTTTATATATAATAAATTGTTTTATGAATTTGAAAAGGCAATTAAAAACAACACGGACAACCACAATAATACAGGACAATAAACCAAACAATGATTTATAAAGACCTGCAAAGACTTGTGGGGAAATGGGTATTACCAAATGGCTTCTAATTTTACAACCAGACAAGCATATTCTTTTGACTTGAATGAAATGTGAGGGCTCTTTGAAAACATTGCAGTCTTAGACATGGTACCACCACATATGTGTCTAATATTTTGGTAATTGGAAGTTTCATAATTTGCACACTAATTTTTTGTGTCATAAGCAAATATTGTTTATCCCAAAATTATGCGTGAAAACTGATTTCTACATTGCACCTCACTTGTAGAGTATTAAGCAATGTCAATCGACAGGGTAATATACCGGTACTTATCAAATACACCACCTATTATTTTAATTAAAATGAGTATTCTGTAAAAAAATACTGATAGTTCCATATACAATAAAAACTAGTAGTGTAGAATTGTGGCATGATTTGACTATTGTACTTCAAATTATGCAAGAATTCAACAGAATGGACAACTAATATGTTTCCATAGTGACAGACTGAATGCAGTAATCATTGAAGGGAAAATGAATTGAATATTCTGACATTTGCATTTTAGACTTGGTCTCACAAACAGAAGTTAAAAGCCAGTTAGTTCAATTGCTTGTCTCTGCAATTTCTCTTGTATATTTCTGTTTGGACAGATGATTCAACAACCATATGACATTTTTAGTACAAATTCAAACTTACTGGTATCTTTCCTCTGTTTTGGAATATTTTCATTTGTGTGCACATTTGTGTTTTTAAAGGTCCATATTATTTGATGGAAATAAAAGATGAAATTAAAATATTGTGGCCACCAATTGTGGTTTTAAAGGCCTGTGTTTATTACCGTGGGAGCAAGATACTGGAAAGCTCTTTAAGTAAAGTCATTTTCATGGTAAAGCTTAAATAAGAGTGATTTTTGCACAGTTTAATTTTCACAAAACAAGCTTTCATAATTATCTGCTTTTCTGGGTGCCTCTGAGAACAGTTTATTCATATTGTTAAAGCATACACAATTTTGAGTGTTCTATTTTACAGAAATAAATAAACGCGCTGTAAGATCAAAACTGGCTTTCTACTTTCACAACAGTGACACATGTACATTGTAGTTTAGTGTGGATGGAAAATACATCGCTCACCACTATAGCAAAAATATATACTAGGCAAAATATTCATGCATATTTAATTCTGTGATAATTTTTGCCAATTACATAAAAGTAAAACTGCAAAAATAATTTCTAGTTATACAGGTGCATTCATATTGTCTGTGTTGTTGTGGGGAAATCATAATGGTCTGCTTACCCTATATTTAGTTAACGTGGGAAATGAAATGGTCCTTCTATAGCAAAAATCCTTCTTGCAAATGATGGAATTCAGGATAAATTTTTGTCTTCAAGTTGTTGTAACTTTAATGTTGTTTATACCTGGCAAACATGTTTGTATTTCATGGAAGTATAAAGACATAAGGGATATCATCAATGATCATTTTTTAGATATAATTAATTTGAAAATATAATACCGGTAATACCAAAACATATGTGAGTGTTTTTTGGGTTTTTTTTTACCTCATCACTTGTCAGTGCCATATGGCATTACGTTTGAGGTAAGGACTTGATATGGAAATCAGTTGATTGGCTTTGCTATGCTTAGTTGAGCAGAAGTCAAGTGATCACAGTGTATCATAGATATCAACTTGTGCTGGAGAGTGCGAGGATTTTAAAAGAGCACAGTATGGTTTTTAACATTTTTTTTGAGTGACTGAGTCATTGCATTATTATTGATTTATTGCTATGCCAAATAATCCTGTTACCAACAATTCCTGTTTATTTTCTGGTGAAAATTTGTTATTCGGATCTGAAAAAAAACACAGCAACCATGTTATGCAAAATTGGTTCAGATTCTAAATCTTTGGTAATGTTATTTTTTAGATGACCGTATTTGAATGTCGACAATCTTAAAATCAAAAACATTTAGAACAGATATAGCGAACTTTTTTGTGTGGGGTCTGGTCAAATCCTGGGGGCAGCCATGTTTGTTTTTTTATTATTAGTGGATGCTTACACGCGTAATCGTTCCATATTTGGAATTCACGTTTCCCAAAGCTAATATGGTATAATGAAAATACCCAGTGCAATAGCGCAAAATTATGACCCTCTGTAACTTATGGCGTTAGTTACAGTTGTATAATAATAGTTATTATTACAATATCATATACGAGTACACAGATGATTCGGTCTTGTAATAAATTATTATTATTATTTTTTTTCAGCTTATAAAACTGTGTCCGGTGTCAACGGTCCCCTTGTGATTTTAGACGATGTGAAGGTAAGTCTTGATAATTATTAAATACTATGCCATGGCAAGAATTGACATGTACCGTAAAATCTGTATTAGAAGTCGCATTCCTAATAGAAGTTGCACACATTCTTTTTGTACAATTGAGAACCCCAAATTCACTATTTCTCATCTGTGTAGATGCTGTAAATGAAGCCGCATCCTCTCTGTTGCATTGTACTGATATTTTTGTCATTTTTGGTAAAAAGTGATATTTTCGACTTCTTGTTAAAAACCACAAGTCCAATTGCTTTGATATTACATATATAGGTACTACATGTGGACCACTCTCAAATTTGTTCATTTCATGATATTTTAAATTCTCTAATTTTGATGAATATTTTTATCATTTTTGGTAAAAAGTGATATTTTCTTCTTGTTAAAAACCACAATCATTTATGGTGAAAAATTATATTTTTGAATTCTTGAAAACAGCAAGTCCCATTGCTTTGATACTATACTTATTGTTCATTTTCTAATGATATCTTCTGTTCTTTACCATTTTAATAGAAGCCACTGCTTGTAATACAGATTTTACAATGCCACATGTTTCAGCAAACGTATCCCCTCAGTTTATAAAAAAAACAAAAAAAAATCCCATTTTTCATGTATCCCTTTATTTGGAATTCAGTAAAAACCAGGAAAGTTGATCCACAGATTTGAATAAATCTATCTTGAGCACCATTACTCATATTTGTGTATTGTATCATTTATGTTCTAATTCCAGTGTATGACCTTTCACATGCATTAGCCTTTCACATGCCATTCAAACTAAAATGTTATGGGTATATCGTGGATTGCAGAGATACAGATAGATTTATATCTTGACATTTACAAGGACATCTCTTTGTATGAAATTCTTCTGAGTAATATAGGAACTGGGGCACCTTTGTACTAATTAATCACACCTATCAGGTTTTACCTGTTGTAAATGTCCAGAGCTAAAAAATGTGATTAAGAGAGCCGTGCTATTAAAATCTCTTTAAGATAGAATGGATTGGGAGGATGATAATTAGGTTTTCTGTGTTTTGATCTGGGTGAGCGATCACTGACCTTAGAAAGAAAGGTCTGACCCATCAACAGCTTCTCCCACAGTACAGCCAATGAAGAAATGCTATATGAGTCTGTCAGGTGTGTGTCTATTTATTCTTCTGTTATACAGAAATAAAAAACTGATTATCAAACATTCTAGATAGACATCTATGGATTCATTACTTGTGCACAAGAGGGAATAAAACCTTTACAAACAGTTACTCGAATTATGTTTTTATTACACTGAAATTGAAAGGTCACGATAACCTGATTGCCATGTTTTGTTTGGTAGATAACATTAATGTTCATTGTAAAATATTGTAACTTGTCTGTATTTGTTATTACATAATGTTGATATCGAGTGAAATATGTGGCATCATATTCTGAATTTACCTTTCTGTGTGTTCTTACAGTCATACTCCGGTGAACATTTGGTTGGTTTGTAGAGGAATGATTTCTCAGTTTGATTGTCTATAAACTGGTCAGTTGTCGAGCAATTCTAAATCTGAATGAGATTTAACTCTTCATGTATTCACTGCAGCATAATTATTATACATTTGATATATTATAAATTCAAAACTTTTGATAAAATGTCATTCAATGCCCATCATTGAAGGTTTTACATCCAAGTATTACAAAGGCATCAGTTCCCCTGAAATATTGATTGTACAAAGTAAAAAGTAGGCAGCACAGTATTACGAAAGATAGACAGTTAGTGAGTCATTATTGACAAGTAGATGGCAAATGAGGCTGCAGAAACCCCTGCGTACAAGTGTATATATATATATGGGTTGTAAGCTTGGGTCATGGATTTCATGGGCATTTGTATAAAGTCCTTTCCCGTTGATTGTTTTTTTTTATCATACTGG